AGTTGTCACTTCTATGAGCGTCAATTCAAGTCCCACATCAGCCATTTTGCCGCAAAGGGATTGGTGTAAAAACGCTGGCACTACACATGTTTTGTTCGTCCATTGATGGGGGTAATCATCCCATGGTAGAAAAGTGGTGCTTGATAAACCACATAGATATTCGATACCAGTAGTACCCGCACGAGGCGGGGCGGAAGTTGCCTTAAAGATATATATAAGACCTTTCTCATCTATAGAACTTGCATGCGCCGTGCGCCAGCCAAGCCCGTGCGTGCGTGCACTCTGCGAAAGTTGTGTCCTGCTTCACATAAGCTCCACTTCGCACTTCACACTCCACACTTCACACTTCACACTGCACTCTTCGCACTCCACACTTCACACTTCACACTGCACTCTTCGCACTCCAAACTTCACACTCCACACTTCACACTTCTCACTTCTCACTCCACACTTCACACTCCACACTTTACACTCCACGCTTCACACTTCTCACTGCTTTCTTCAGACTCCACACTTCATACTTCACACTTCATACTTCACACTCTACACGTCACAGTCCACACTTCACACTTCTCATTGCTTTCTTCACACTCCCCACACTTCTTCACTCCACAGAGAAGCTTTTACACACAGCAAGCTTTCACACACAGCAAGCATTTACACACAGAACACTTACACACAGTGCTTTTTACACATGGCAAGCGCTTACACACACACACAGAAACTTTTACACAGAGAAGCTTTTACACACAGCAAACTTTTACACACAAAACTTTTACACACAGCAAGCTTTCACACACAGCAAGCGTTTACACACAGTACTTGCACACAGTGCTTTTACACATGGCAAGCGTTTACACACAGAACACTTACACACAGTGCTTTTACACATGGCAAGCGTTTACACACAAACAAAAAAAAACTTTTACACAGAGACACTTTTAACACATGCACAGATAAGCTTTTACACACAGCAAACTTTTACACGCAACATCTTTTACACACAGCAAGCTTTCACACACAGCAAGCGTTTAGACACAGAACACTTACACACAGTACTTGCACACAGTGCTTTTACACATGGCAAGCGTTTACACACAAACTTTTCCACACAGGAATTGCAGCTCCAAAACCGGATCTCGACGCCAAAGCAGAAAAAAGACGATTTTGAAGCACTTTTTAAAAGGGATTTTAAAAGGAAAATTACTAGCGCCAAAATTGCGAAAATCTGCTGACAAATCACGATCGCAGCCTGGATGCAGCCACTCCAATACGATTTACAATCTTCAGCTGCAAAAGACAATAGTATTACGCATGCAGCCGCGGCGGCAAGCAACCTTGAGGCAGCCACTCCAATGCGATCTGCAGAGACTGAGTTGCAAACCACAATAGAACTAAGCGCAACGGTGTCTGAAATTGCAGCTTCAAAACCGGATCTCGACGCCAAAGCGACAAAAAGACGATTTTGACGCACTTTTTAAAAGGAATTTTAAAAGGAAAATTATTAGCGCCAAAATTAGGAAAATCTGCTGACAAATCACTTTCGCAGCCTTGATGCAGCCATTCCAATACGATTTACGATCTTCAGCTGCAAAAGACAATAGTATTACGCATGCAGCCGCTGCACCAAGCAACCTTGACGCAGCCACTACAATGCGATCTGCAGAGACTGAGTTGCAAAACACAATAGAACTACGTGCAATGGCGTCGGAAATTGCAGCTCCAAAACCGGATCTCGACGCCAAAGCGACAAAAAGACGATTTTGAAGCACTTTTTAAAAGGAATTTTAAAAGGAAAATTATTAGCGCCAAAATTGAGAAAATCTGCTGACAAATCACTTTCGCAGCCTTGATGCAGCCATTCCAATACGATTTACGATCTTCAGCTGCAAAAGACAATAGTATTACGCATGCAGCCGCTGCACCAAGCAACCTTGACGCAGCCACTACAATGCGATCTGCAGAGACTGAGTTGCAAAACACAATAGAACTACGTGCAATGGCGTCGGAAATTGCAGCTCCAAAACCGGATCTCGACGCCAAAGCGACAAAAAGACGATTTTGAAGCATTTTTTAAAAGGAATTTTAAAAGGAAAATTATTAGTGCCAAAATGGATAAAATCTGCTGACAATTCACTTTCGCAGCCTTGATGCAGCCATTCCAATACGATTTACGATCTTCAGCTGCAAAAGACGATCGTATTGCGCATGCAGCCGCAGCACCGAGCAACCTTGACCCAGCCACTACAATGCGTGTCGCAGCATCCCGTAGCAAACCTGCACCTATCTACGGACGTGGCAACATCAAATGACGACAATGAAGCAGCCATTCCAGTGCAATCTGCAACTAGAGATTCAAGAACCGCATGGAACTACGCACGCAGACACAACCACTCGTTGCAAAACACATAGGAGGAACAATTCGCGACAGAAACGACCGCAGCCGCAACCGCCGCACAGACGAGGTACCTTTCATCGCCGGCTGCAGCCACTTTACACGGAAAAACACAAGGTTTCGTGCTCCGGCTTCCTCCCCAACACAAAGCCCATGCAACATCATGCAGCCATTCCAATGCGATCTGCCACCACAGCTTCAAGAAACGCATAGAACTACGCACACAGGAACAACCACTCGTTGCAAAACACATAGGAGGAACAATTCGCGACAGAAACGACCGCAGCCGCAACCGCCGCACAGACGAGGTACCTTTCATCGCCGGCTGCAGCCACTTTACACGGAAAAACACAAGGTTTCGTGCTCCGGCTTCCTCCCCAACACAAAGCCCATGCAACATCATGCAGCCATTCCAATGCGATCTGCTACCACAGCTTCAAGAAACGCATAGAACTACGCACACAGGAACAACCACTCGTTGCAAAACACATAGGAGGAACAATTCGCGACAGAAACGACCGCAGCCGCAACCGCCGCACAGACGAGGTACCTTTCATCGCCGGCTGCAGCCACTTTACACGGAAAAACACAAGGTTTCGTGCTCCGGCTTCCTCCCCAACACAAAGCCCATGCAACATCATGCAGCCATTCCAATGCGATCTGCTACCACAGCTTCAAGAAACGCATAGAACTACGCACACAGGAACAACCACTCGTTGCAAAACACATAGGAGGAACAATTCGCGACAGAAACGACCGCAGCCGCAACCGCCGCACAGACGAGGTACCTTTCATCGCCGGCTGCAGCCACTTTACACGGAAAAACACAAGGTTTCGTGCTCCGGCTTCCTCCCCAACTCACCACTTCCCTTCCTCACCACTTCCCATCGTCACCACTTCCCATCGTCACCACTTCCCTTCGTCACCACTTCCCTTCGTCACCACTTCCCTTCCTCACCACTCCCCTTCATCATCACTTCCCTTCCTCTCCACTTCCCTTCGTCACCACTTCCCTTCCTCACCACTTCCCTTCGTCACCACTCCCCTTCATCATCACTTCCCTTCTTCACCGCTTCCCTTCGTCACCACTCCCCTTCATCATCACTTCCTCAAGGTCAATTTCATAGCTTCTTATTCTTTTGTTATGTGTTGGTACATTATGTATTGTTATATTATGTATTGTTATATGATCTACCACCCTTCCTCAAGGTCAATTTCATTGCTTCTTATTGGTTTGTGATGTATTGGTACATTATGTATTGTTACAGGATCTACCACCCTTCATCATAGTCAATTGCACCAAGTAAAAAGTCATTCGTAACTCGGAAATTGCTTCCCAACTTCCTTTGATAATACAAATTAACGATCTATCATCAACCCTCTTGTGCTTGGTGGTTTCAAGTTTTAAGCCCATAAAGTAACACTGATCATCATCGCTTAGCGGGAAACGATCATCCAGTCACGGGATCAACCTTTCAGATCTCAGCTGTAACTCTTCTCAGCCGTGAATTTCCGGATGTCGACCAAATGACCCCAAGACAACGGATCCCTTGGGGATCCGTTTGGCTAAACAAATGCTCAGTAACTCAGTGTCTGACGATAATAAGATCCAAAAATCCAGTGGCCAACAGAACTGTCCAACAAAAAATCGTCAAACATTGGTCCCCGTGGAGACATCCACACTGGCCAAAACTGGAGGTCCAACCACCAAGCTCACCATCCCGAAGCAACGGACCGCACGATTTGGTCTTCTCAAAATTTGCCGGGTGCGAAAAGATTAGCAAACAGCCAGGCCCCAGCATTGCGACCACTTGCGCAGCCGGCAAAAGCTCGGTGTCCATGATGCAGGTTTTTAGCCCCACAATCCCCAGGCATCTTGATCTTCGACTTACCCATTCAAAAACGGGTTTCAAACATAATATGCTGTATACTCTAACCTAGTTTTTTCGATGTTCTGACTGCTATCAAATTTGTTGCCTTTTTTACTTCCAAACTCCAACACATTCCACAGTGGACCCTGGCAGCAGGGACACCATGCGCGACTCCCAATTAAGGGAGCTGAATCCTACTGAAACCTTTTTTGAAGGTTTCACTTGAAACCATTATGTGGCTGATACTGCAAACACCACCTTGCTGTCATGGTGGCAGCAGCAGTTCCAGAGATTATGAGTGGCTTTATGCAATGCATATCTCATTTTCTTTGCATTGGTGAATGACCCGCCAAGCAAGGACAAAGAACATTACATGTCTTTAGAAAATGGATGCATTTTGTTATAAAAATGTATCCTGGCTTTCTGGTTCCTGCGACACAAACTGTTGTGATGTTTACAATGACGCGTGTTTCCGATTCAGTCTATATGTAGTTGTCTGCATCTATATATTGATGCATTTGTATACATAATATAGATATTATATCCACATAACATACATATATATATATATATATACATACATACATATATATATACATATATACATACATATATATGTATATATACATATATATATATACATACATATATATATATATTTATACTAATATCTATACACATAAAATACACACACATTGTACCTATCCATATTGTCTATCTTCATGAAGGTGCATGTTGTCTTTTAAATAGCATGCAATGATGTCACCTCCAGCTCATCTCTCATGCCTCAAAGCCTCCGCTGATTGGGATGAATGGCACCACTTGGTGCACAAATCACCACCCAAACGGTCTTATCACAACCAAATCCGAGACAAATATCAGTATCAGTACTGTATCTTAGCAGTAATTGATATTGATGGTATGATATGGTATGTAATTTCCAATCGATTTTCCATGATTTTCCATCATCCTAGTGAACATCGAGCCTGAAAACTAGGGAAGTCTTCTAAGAACCACCCCCAACTGAGAAGAATTTGACCATTTGGTGATCTCGGAGAGGTCGGTTTAAACCTTCTCAGAGACTTGCGGCCTTGCCATAAATAATCCTTAAGTTGTTCGATATTTACAGTTATGGCCATTTATTAGTTATAACTGGTTATAAATGGGATTATACAATCTATAAATGGGGTTATAAGTACTTATAACTGGTAAAGGGCCATAACTGTATGCAATATCAGGATTAGCAAAAAAAAATAATCCATTAATTTAGCCAATTGATATGGTCACAGTCTATCAAGATGATCCCGACCTTCCGAATGATGGCAGATGGCTAGGTGTCAAGCACCATACCCATAGATAGAAAAGAAAAATACTAAGAGAATGGTGAATTGCATTTATATTTGTTGTTTGCTAGACGCTTACTATAACCTTCACGTTCCAGTTCCAAATTTTCCGAGTGTATTTGGGGCTGGTTTTGGGGGGTCCAAACATGCTCTCAAAGGGTGTCTGGAACAGGGTAAGAAGGCATTCGGATCCTCAGGTTTGCTAGGACTGGGCTACGTCGTATGGTTTTAATCCCCTTACCAACTAGTCCTGGATGGCAAACACAGTAAAATTGTAAGATATGTAGGGTTTTGTCCATTATATGGGATGTTCTATGCAATTATAGCAATTCCAAAAAGGGACAAGGATGATCAATCATCAGATTTTTCCTTCCTACATTTTTTTTTAAATATACCTATACCGTATACCAAATTAATATCAATCGAATTGTATACTTATCCGATTTGGTTCCCATTGTTCATAATGACCCAAATCATATTAAGTTGGTGTCACCCATCAACAAAGGATTTCGTTAATGGTTCGTACATGCTTATATTATATATAGAATTATCATATTTTATATAATATCATGTATATATATATATCATATATACATATAAATATACAATATCAATATATATATATATATACATATATATATATATGTATAATATCATATATATATATATGATATCATATATATATATATCAGAAAATAATAATAATAATAGTAGTAATAATAGTAATAATAATAATGATAGTAATAATAATATTCTCTATTATGTATTATCAAAATGTGGTTTACATATAATATATATATATATATAATATCTATCTATCTAACCGCCGGAAACTGCCGGAGACCGAAGCTCAACCCGTGTCCCTTTCTGGGTCCCCCAACCCATCGATTCGGGGCCAGGCCGCGCAAGCCGTGCGGCAGCTCCGGCGCTGGCGGCGCTGGCGCTGAGTCACTGGAGGCAGAGGACTGAGCACCTGCGGTGCAGAAAATCTATGCCCTACAGTGCTTGACACCTAGCCATCTGCCATCATTCGGAAGGTCGGGATCATCTTGATAGACTGTGACCATATCAATTGGCTAAATTCATGGATTATCAAATTGCTAATCCTGATATTGCATACAGTTATGGCCCTTTACCAGTTATAAGTACTTATAACCCCATTTATAGATTGTATAATCCCATAGAAATAACCAGTTATAACTAATAAATGGCCATAACTGAATGGATGGGCCCCTTACCATATTATATATATATAATATATATATATATATTCATAGTTACCCTCTGGTAATGACTAACATAGCTATTGAAAATGGCCATAGAAATAGTGGATTTACCCATGAAAAATGGTGATTTTCCATAGTTATGTAAACGTTTACCAGCGGGTATGCCCTAGTGCTCCGAATACCCTCTGAGAAGGTGTTTAGACCCAAAAAAAAACTCCAAATACAGTCTCAGAAGGTGTTTGGAGCTGTAGGGATGGGAAAACCTATGGTCTTTAATGGATTTGTAGGAGGAAAACATATGAAAAATAGGAGTTTAAGCAACAATCATCTTTTCATTGGATAGGTTTTCTTGGGAAAATCTGAAATCCGCAAAACACGTTTTTTTTTTCCCCCATGAAATATGGAGTCCGGTTTCAATTTTCCCAAAGAAAACCAATCCAATGAAGGGATGTTCCATTTTGATGTTAACCATCTTAAACACCTGGTTTTAAACCACAGCGTTTACAAGAAACGATTCCTGTACTTGGAACGATGGTGTCGTTTTTCAAACATCCCTCGACCGCGACTGCTGGTTTTTTACATATTCGTTTTGGTTGGTGAAAACTCCTTTAAGTATGCATTTGTAAAAGCAGTATTTAGAAATCCATGCCTATCCACGTATAGCTATTTCTATCAGTGTATTGCATATGTCCTATTAAGAGAACAGATATGTTCCTTTACCATGTCATTTAGTAAAGGATACCAAAGGGGAAAATCCAACTCTCTTGTAATCAATGAATCAAACATGACAATGCCAGTCTCCTATGTGTTGCCATACTCATGATATTTCACTTGGGTATAGACATTCAATGTAATTACAAATGGGGACACAAATCATCACGATGTTGATGAATTGTGGGCATCAAACCAACAGTTTCAGCAACTATAATGTATATCTGATGAAATGTCCCAGTTGTCCTGGGGTGAGTTGTTTATGAATGTATTTACTGATGCTGTGTATGGCTGAATATCCTCTTATTGTGGCTCAACATCTATTGTTTGTGCCTTGATATCTACAGTAAATGCGGCTGAAGCTGAACATCCATCTTGTTTGGATTGAAATCCGATCAGGGTTTTTTTATGCCTTCATCTTCCAAAATGTGGGTTCACCCGATCCCCCGCGGGCAAAATTAGATAAAACTATCACTTGGTTGTAGCTTTATGCGGCGTAATTTTCTTTGTGGCTACTCCCCTCCATTTTCACATGAACCTGAACATGTTGCTGCTTTTTTTTGATGATTTTACTACTGGGTGTGGCCGAACTGTTGGGTTCTGTGTGATTTCTTCCGGAAGTAGGGTAAAATCTTATATGCAATAGATTAGTGGATAGCGAAATCTGATACTAGATCACAAATTGACTAAGAAAGTAGGATAACGGATAACCAAACAATTTAAAAATGGAAAGTAGGATAACCAGTAGTCAATTTGCGGGTATACCCCAGTTCCAAACAAACCCATACATAGTAGTGTCGCTTGTATACCCATATTAAAAACCCAGTATTACTATATCACCATACGCGATGGTAATATCAAATTGGTTTCTTTAAATCCATGTTTATCCAATATCGGCATTACATTACCATTAAATTACCCTCTGGCAATTTAACGTAGCTATTGAAAATGGCCATTTATAGTGAATTGTCCCATTAAAAATGGTGATTTTCCATAGTTATGTTAGTTTACCAGAAGGTAACGGATATTATTGCCATTGATATAATGATTAAACTATCCTTCAAGTGTGTGATTCGGCAGCCGCTCGATTTCGGGAAGCAAAAAATCCGGAGTTTTCGGAGGCCTGGACTTTGGCTCAGGCGCTGTGCCTGCGTAGGTTTCGACATGTGTGTGATGTTGTTGCGTTTTACGTGAATCTCATGTGTGTATGTATATATATATTATATATTATATTATATTATATTATATTATATATATATATTATAGCTATAATTGTATGCATAATAATCCTGAAGCAGATAGATAGAATATGGTTGAATATGGCATGTTCAATTACATTCCCATTTTAATGATGATGTTTGAAATTTACAAGTCTGCAATCTTCTTCATGATGACTTTAGGTATAGATGTGTATATCACTATAGATATTATGCATTATCATAGATATTGGATTCGTTTAAACATTCGGTATAGATACTGATATACTATAGCTACTGAACATAGAATTAGAATGAATTAGAATACAATAGATATGTGTATAGATAAACTGCATGTGTTATATATACATAAGTTTTGTTGTGGCAAAGTAGCAATGGCTCAACCAAAGAGTCACATGGTATGGACCATTGCCCGAACACTGCCAAGTTCCAGTTTGACTTGAAAATGATTCATCAGCAAGTGCAAACTGGGTACTTGGTGGCTCATCCCACTTAGTAAGTGGGTTATAGCCCCAGTTATAAATGGGATAAGTAGGGTTAATCCACTTATAATTGGGGTTATAACCCACTTACGAGCCGTGGGATGAGCCACCAAGTAATCCCGAAACCACCGGAATCCTTCGAGTTTTTGAGATCAACAACAAGAATTTTCTGCAACACTGTGCAGTTATAACTCAAATTAAGCCATCCAAAAGACCAAACAAACTCCTTAGTGGTTTCACCCGAAAAAGACATGTTGACGTCAGTGGGATTATCCCAAATTTAGGATTGACCAAATACATGATAATCAACAAGATAAGGTTTGATAATACATGATTATCATCCCAAATAGGATACTTTATCTTAGCTTGAAAACATCCACCAGATGAAGTAAAAACACAAGCTGCGCACTGCCCATGTTTTTGTTTTCCAACTGGCCATGTCACACGTCACAGCAAACTCCGATGCCGTGAATGACATCCACTGAAGCACTACCTGGCCTGCCTGGTGTTTGCAGCGAAAAACATCCAAGATGCCACCACAAATGGGTCACGTCTGACTTTTGGGGTTTACCAGCACCACCCAGCAATTATTATGGCCACGTATTTATTGGAGTTAAGTTACAGACAGTGTTTTTTTTCCGCATAATTTTCAGACACACCCAAATGTGAAAGAGGTCAACAGGATGGCATAGTGCTGGTCGATGCCCCGAAAAGGCACGTCGAACATCGTTTCCAGCACTGGGAGGTCATCTGCAAAAGCCATTTTATGTATACTATAACGTACATTAAAAACCTTACCCTCTGGTAATCAAACATGGCAACGGAAAACCGATGGAAATCACCTCAAAACAGAGATTTTCATGGAACATGATCCAAACATCTGAATTCGTCCATAGCAAACTGTGGCAATTTACTTGATGAGCTTGACGGTAATGGAACATTTACCCGCCCATCTCTGGGACTTGCGTGAGCATCAACACCATCTGCCACTGCTGTGCCCGGTGACAAGTTCGGATCGCCGCCCGGCGGCTAATGATGTCATTCCGCACCTGTACCTGGTTGGTGGTTGAGCCCAACCCCACTGAAAAATATGAGTTCGTCAGTTGGGATGATTATTCCCAACTGAATGGAAAAATAAAAATCTTCCAAACCACCAACCAGGTACCCTCAGCATCGTCTGAAAGAAAAGTAGCGCCAGCTGCCACTGCTTTCCCTTCTCAGCCGCAGAGATGGCAGCGCTGTATGAAATCACGTCATGCTGCAGCTGCGCCTCGTGCATTTTGGCAAAGATGTGCAAGGCATGATCCCATTGACCTCCCTCGGAGGCACTGATCAGTGCATTGTAGGTGATGACATCGGGTTGGACTCTGGACATAGGCATTGCTTCAAACAACTTCATGGCTTGCTGCGATTGACGGCCCTTCTCACAAGCACTGATGGTAGCGTTGTATGTGATTTGATTGGGTTGTAGCTGTGCCCTGGGCATCTGATGGAACAAGAAGAGTGCATGCTGCCATTGACCTCCCTTCTCACAAGAACTGATACTTGTGGTGTAGGTAATGACATCATGTAATGCATCTGGCATTTCCTGAAACCAATGTATAGCCAGCTGCCATTGGCTTTTGCAAGCGCTGATGAGCGCATTGAAGACAACAGCATTGGGGGTCGCCTGTGCTTGTTGCATTGTCTCAAACAAAGCAAATGCCTGCTGCCATTCACTGGCATTTTCACAAGCACTGATTGCAGCACTGTAAGAAAATACGTTCCTGGGGACGGGATCATGACAACCCATTGGGATGGACAAACAACACAGAAACAAAGGAAAAACATCAATGAATCCATGACAACCTGGGACAACCCTTACAGTGGTCACACAATTCCCATTCTATCATGGTTAGACAATGGTAGATATCCCAGTTTTTGCAGGGATATATCCACTAAAATGGACCAGCTTGGATTTGCTAAAAGGTGCCAGAAAATTGGCACATTCCCAGAAGATTCCCCAAACGCTGGGCCAACCAATCGGACACAAAAGCGCAACACCTTCATCTTCGGCAAGTACAGAAAATGTCTATAGTTATATAATATTTTTAGTTTTGACTAGCTAATTCATCCAAATTAAATAGCCAAATTATTCATATATCATGGATCTAGGAAAAAACATAGTTTTTCACTGACCTGAAACTAGCTGAGAAAAGGCTATTTCGGGATGATTTCCCTTGTTGACCATAATTCCAGTGAGGTCGCAGTGCGGCCATAATGATTAAAAGCAAAACATATTCTATGTCATCCATATTATATATATAGTACTACACATCATATAATGATTACAGTATATATATATATAATTATATATATATATGTGTGTGTGTCATCACATTTACACATGTAATCACATATCATTCATACCATAGATATCTCCATTGACCCAGGCGCGCCTGGGCACTTGCATGGTCGACATCTCGCCGAAGACTCGCAGCGCGAGTTGCCACTGACTTCCCCGTGCGCAGGCGGAGATCCCAGCAGAGAAGTTCACCACGTCCGGCTGCAGCTGTGCCATTGGCATCTGATCCAACAAACCTTGCAGTTATGGCCCGAGTTAGACCAGTTAATCCAGTTCTAAGTACTAACAAGTCACCCCATTTATAGATTGTTTGTTATCCCATTGAAATAACCAATGATAACTAATAGCCATGGCCATAACTTCCTTTCACATTGTGAAGGAAAATTGGCAACTACACCAATTAAGGAAACCACCACATCCAGTTCAATGTAAGTATTGCTATTGGTACTATTCTGTATATATATATATATATATACACATACTCAAAGAAATGTGGCATATAATTGGAATATGGCACTACTAACAATAGTCATATTGATCATATTGTTTTATCCCTTGCAAGAAACTGGGAAAAATAAAGGGATACGTCATATGTGATAAAACCTATCTTAAGGATCTAAGAAACAAAATAAAGCCAAAAAAAAAACTTAGCATATGGCTAAATATCACCCAGCAAACTACAGGCATGTTGCCACAATTTGGCCCTGCCCAACAATGAAATTCCAAGGCTAAAGTCCTTGATGTCCAGCGGGTCCAACGGCAGCTTGGTAGGCGCATTGCAAAAAGCTCCCAGGATCAAGTCGCTTTGGTTCCTCGAGACAAGGATTCAACTTTAATCGACCATGGCTGGGACATCCCCAAACTAAAAGGACATCTATATTCTATATGATTATGTATATATTTCTATGTATGTATATATATACACATGTGTATATATATATATAATTATATTATATTATATATAAAAATCGGAAAACCTTCGTACAATGGAGGATAAACAATTCATACTGGAAACACTGGACAACATGCATTCCTTCAAGGCCTTCTGCATACATCAGCACTCTCGCACGCTGAGTGGATGACTCACAACTGAAGTTGTCCCATCCCTCAAGGAGTCCCACAAAGTGGCCCCAAATTCTGTGAAAAAGTGAGTGAGTCCTGTCCCATTTTAGAGTATAGTTATCTCCAACACAGATTCTTGTTTGTTCAATTTATGCATCAACTCGTCTAGCATAAATTAAGGTATCAACCCACATTAGTACCACCGTACCACCTTTGGGGGCCCTATATATTCTATTGAAACATTACCATGTAGGTATCATCACACTTTTCAGTTCCCCGTTATAACTTGGGACATCTCATGCCATTCGCATCCATTGGGAAACTGGGTACACTTAGACTACTTGCTCCACATAGAGGTACTGGTTGGTGGTTTCAACCCCTCTGAAAAATATTAGTCATAGTCAGTTGGGAGTATTATTCCCAATATATGGAAAAAATAAAACATGTTCCAAACCACCAACCAGAGGTAGATGTATCATTGATGTATCCCAATCTGTTGTATTGATATAGGTGAAACATGGCTGCGGTGGCCCTATGCGAGTAGCATTCACATACGGAGAGCTCCCAAAAAATCTTCTTTTGACCAGCCATAGCGTCTTTTTTGACAACGCCTTCAAAAGATTTCGGAAGAAATGCCGTGGTGCTGCTCCTTCCATTGCAGACCTGAAACCTCTTGGCTGCGAGATCTGTGACTCTTTGGGATGTGAAGGGGAATAGCCTACACTCCTTGTCGCATGACAATACCCAAGTTACTGGGAATAAAACACTGCAGGATCTATGGTGCTTAGATGGGCCATGGGATTAACTAACTGGTTAGTAAGTGGGGCTATAACCCCCTATATCCCGATTATAATCTATTTACTAACTAGTTAAGTAACTCCATGGCCCATCTAAGTGGTTTCCTAAAATGTGGGTACCCCAAAATCATCCAGTAGGATTTTCTCATTTAAAATGGATCAAAACTCTGGTACGATAGCCTGGCTACCGGTGTTTCAAAAACTCGAAAAGAAATGGCATTTTCGAGCGATCAATTATCTATGTTTGGGGGTTCAGGAGTTCGAGCTGTGCCATACCTAAAATCCTAATTAAGTTTAAGGAATTGAATACTTCCAGATTGGAGTGGAACAGGAATTGAGACCTTACACCATCCGCCAGCTAATGATAGACAGCTTCTACAAATGGAGGTTGAGCTAGTTGGCGACCAAATCCACATTTCATACTCCCACAAGTATGCTCAAACCCACTATACTGTATCTCAAATTATGTGAAAGTCGCGTGATAATTAAATGATACAATATATATATATATATCATTTAATTATATAATATACAGTGTATATATATAATTATATATAGCATATAGCATTTATATAGCATCACATCATGTTTACAATTCTTCGTTCCTCATTTCCTTTGGTTCAATGGCACACCATTTGCCAACTGCCCCGCACCTCCGCTCTCTTGCAGTGGTAGTGAGTACACCCTGACCTAGACAGCGATCTCGTGGGGAGATGTCCACGAGATGCAAGTCCCCGACGGCCGCGACGAGGGCGACGAATGTCAAAACACAAAACCGGAGAATGAGGACAACATAAAACAAGTTGAAGAAGTCATGAAGATATGAAGTGTGTTGGAGAATAAGACAACACTTCTATTTTGCAAAACAAAATCATAGAAGACATTGATGAGTGTCCAGTTCCCAGATAGATTCCCCCTGCAAGTTTGGAGAAAATATGTGACAACAAGGTGCTTCAATCCTTAATCTTTCGTTATCTGCCTGGCCACAATCAGCGACCTGCTGTGGATATAGCAACTCATAGAAGACGAATCTTTGTCAACTGTGATTTCCCACTTTTGAGGGATGGAAAATGGAAAAACATGTTTGAGACAGTTTGAAAGTATCATCCGAATAATCGTTCACTAAACAAATAGGCCCATACAGGGCGAGTACAGTTGATGTGGCAAATATTGCAAGACTCATGCCATATATATATATAGAGATTTGACTCGAGTAGATTCAAAAAAAGTCAGCGTTGATGATATTTGCAGCTGCTGAAATCAAATGGAATTGGTCCCAATCAGCAAAATGTTGAATCAAAGTTTCAGTTGTCCTTGTCTCAGCTGTCGCAGAACTTAAGTTTCACCATCATCCTTTGAACAAGTTCAGGCAACTTCTCAATTTTCAATCCAACACACACACACAATAGGCCATAAACACTAGCTATGATAAAGATTCAACGATCAATAGTGTTGACCTATGATTTGTAAACTACCCCTGAATAAAGCTAACCAAACCCCCAAACTAAATTATAAACTACCCCTAAATAAAGCCAATTTTTTTTGGCCCCAACCCCAGATTTGCCCAGATGGGGGTGAAAAAAAATGTCAATGCTTTATTTGAGGTGGCTTTCATGTACTAATTTATATTGCCAGCTCATTCTTACCTTGATAACTTCAAATTTTCAAAAATAATGGTTGCACTTTCTATTCAAAACCTTTATTCAAAATTATCCAAAATCAATCCCAAATCAGCTCGTCAAGGGTACCCCCCATGAGGTGCCTTAGCACTAATTAGAGTTTGACCCTGAATAAAGCTAAATGTTTTTGGCCCTAAACCCAAATTTGTCCAGATGAGGCTGAAAAAAATTGTCCATGCTTTATTTGAGGTGGCTTTCATGTACTGATTCATATTGCCAGCTCATTAGATCTTACCTTGATAACTTCAAATTTTCAAAAATAATGATTGTCCTTTTCTTTTCAAAACATTTATTCAAAATTATCCAAAATCAATCAGCTCGTCAAGGGTACCCCCCCATGAGGTGCCTTAGCACTAATTAGAGTTTGACCCTGAATAAAGCTAATTTTTTTTGGCCCTAAACCCAGATTTGCCCAGATCCATGACATGAATACTAAATCAATACTAAATCCATGACATGAATACGAGATCAATACTAAATCCATGACATGAATACTAAATCAATACTAAATCCATGACATGAATACTAAATCAATACTAAATCCATGACATGAATACTAAATCAATACTAAATCCATGACATGAGTACTAGATCAATACTAAATCCATGACATGAATACTAAATCAATACTAAATCCATGACATGAATACTAAATCAATACTCAATCCATGAGATGAATACTAAACCAATACTAAAACAATTGTTGGATTCCTGTTTTTTTTGAAAATTGCATTTTATGTATATATTCGTTTTAAATTGTGGTAATTGAAAACCAATACATACAAACAAGTTTTTAACTTTATTTGAGGTAATCAAGGGGAGGGGGGGGGGCCCCCAGGTTTATAAATCAGAGGCAGACATTAATTGGTTGTCTGTTTCAGGCGATCAGGTCATTGAGGGTCCCAAGTTATAGCATCTCTCCATGGGGATTTTCTTGAAAAGCCACAGCTTGTTCCAAAAGTACTCTCAATGTCGTAGACACAACACAGGCCAAACGTAATATATTGTCCTATCATCTCAAACAAGCATGGCTTTGCATATCCTCTTGCTGGTTTGTTGTTTTTGTTGTGTGTTCTGCAATCAAACACAAAGCTGACGAAATGGCCATGAGTTAAAAAACCCTGGTACCAGGATGGTACCTTCAAATAGATTGCTACATCAAGTTACATCGGATGTTTATTCCTCAAAATAAGGATAAATAAGGCAATTTCAGGGGATTTCATAGGTAACTTGAGATAACTTGACCCATCCCCAAGTGAAATCTCCATCTGAGACTTCCTTGTGAGACCTCTGGGAGCCCAGACTCTGCCCTGGAACCGGCACAAATAAAACACCAGTCTGCCTGGAAGTCGTGGGGCTACCCCAAGCTCGCTGGTTGATGGATTTCATGGAAAGCCCCCCAAAAAAAACAGGATGATTTTCTGGGGTATACCCGGTATACCCCTATTAAACAGGAAAGCCCCATATTGATGATTATATACATGATTGTATCTCAAATCTTATATCCACAAGATTTTCCACGTTTTTATGGGTATAACATGGTATATCCAAGGTTCATGGTAGTTTTCTTGTTGCAATCCCATGTTTGACCCCTTATGAGGTCACACCTAAACAGTTCAGGCCCGGTTAAGCACCATCAAGCCCTATCTTTAGGCCATATTGTGAAAGGGCACCATTGCCATCGTTAGATTTCCATGATACAAGTTAGATATCACCCACAAATAGGATCCAGGGATACTTATGAGTAGATAGGATCCAGGGATACTTATGAGTAGATAGGAACATGTGGATGTGGAATTAACAAACCTTGGAGATATTAGAAGAACACATCGGCCCCACTGTTCATGTTGTCCACTTGGGACTTTTGGGGCTCTCTCACTTGGCCGAACAGAAAAACAACTGAAATGGACATTGCTGGACCAAGAGAAAAACCATTCTATGTCTGGAACTATATACTCCGGAGCAAAAAAGTAAGAACACAGGCACCTCTCATGAGTGTTGCACTGGGACTTCGGCTGCTCCAGAGATGCAAACATTGTTGAGGAACAATCACCAAACATTGGTAGATGAGCAACCCAAATCAGACTATGCATGACGATTCAAGCCTATATTCTATCTATTGACAGTACTTGCTATTACCCATAGGATCCATGTATGGTATATATGCTAACATTTGGGGTATATTGATGGTAAATGTTACCATATATAGCATACATGGATCCTATGGGTTATAGAATAGTTGGCAATTTCTAATAACATACTATTCTACACGATTCTGTGGGGATGTCGAATCCAATGAGAATGACTCTTCAACATTCTTCTATACTCTTCTACACTATTCTATAACTAGCCTATGCTATTTCTGGTTGGTGGTTTTTCGCCACCCCTCCGAAAAATATGAGTTTGTCAGTTGGGATGATTATTCTCAATATATGGAAAGTCATAAAATTCCATGGTTCCAAACCACCAACCAGATTTTATCTATTGAATGTCTTGGGATTTTCACCAGTAGCCCCAATCCAGCCAAAGTGCTCGGCACAGGCTGCAAGTCATGATGTTGCATCCGTCAATCTTGGAGCGCGAAGGGGACTTCCCATCCAAGGCTGTGGACACTGATACTCGAGGTGTGAAAAAATGTGCATACATACCATGTAATACCATGTATATGCATATACATATACATGTACATACAATCACATATATATATATATAATTATATATAATTATATATAATTATATATAATTATTATGTATAAATATTATGTGTATATATATATATGTGAAAACATAAGTGAATTTGGTGCTATGTCCAACATGGGAATGTGGCATGTCGCAAACGAATTCCTCCTTGATTTCAAGCAAGAATCAAAATTCAATCTTCAGAAGATGGACTCATTCAACAGTTCTCCAACCAACCCAAAGTTTACACCAATGATAGGCACAAGTAGTGAGAAGACTAAGAAAAACCTGACTGAATTGATGGAGATGTCCCAACAGAAACACACACCTTCAAAATGTCACCTATGCAGATTCCGAAAAATTCTGGTGCAAATGCAGATCCCATCCCCCAAAATCCGACCATTCCCCAAAATCCGACTGAGATCGCTGCACGCTCTGTGGGGTGCCGACATTTGGGGCAGTTCTTGATGGGGCCACTGCCATTCCTCAGCGTTGGATGGTCCGCATAGATATGACACACACCTTGTTTTGATTCTACTTGAGAGTTAAACTGCATTGTTGATCAACATACTTTGCGAGTGTCATGTAGCTATCAAGCGCTTCAGAACCGCCTGACAATCACCCCAACCAGCCAAATAGGGATTGACAGGATAGATAAATACAACGTATTTGGAACCAGCAAGAAAACATCTTCCTGCCCATTAGGACTTTCCTCGTCCTCAAACACCGTTTTCTAGAACAACTAGATCCGAGTACTGACTTTGGGACTCATCGACTCGTACACGCCATTTTGATGCCACTAAATCCATCTAAATCCATCCTTAATCCATCATAATCCATCTAATTCCCATTTATTTCCGATATAAACCAATCGTCTAATGTTTAGTGACCAAAATCCCATCAGTAGCTTCCAGAGCCCCGCCCTTCAACTCCAGGTTGCTGCTGCCTCTCCAGGTTCATGTGTTCCAACCTAGCTGCGAAAATGATCGGTGAAACCCAGGCCCTGACACACTAGCTATTGAACCAACAAGTGGGATTTGACCGTTTGACCCATCAAACAACCGTGGGTTTTAACAACCGTGGGTTTTAACATTGGTTTATAAAGTTTAAACTAAAATAGCAATGGAACATCATTATTTTTAATCATCAACTATAAATGGCCATTTTCAAAGTTTTCAGATGTTTTAACACGTTAAAAAACAAAACAAAAACAGATCAACAGACCAGCACAGCAAATTCCTGGTCCCATCGGGCCCTCATAAAAACAGTGACACATCACAGGCCCCAGTCTCAACAAGTCAAGTGCATCAAAACTCCACAAGCTTTGCAATGTCCACGTTTTCTGTATTTTTCAGATGTTTGTTCTATCCAGTTTAACATATCATAAAATATCAAAAATATCTGAAAAAAAACATATAAAATATCCACTTTTTGCCGAAAGACTCCTGCATGGTGCCGCTGTTTCGTCTCCTCCGCAGCAAGGCACGCTCCTGATCGAACTCACACATTTGCAAAAATCGTGAAAATCATGGGACAACCATGGAAACATCATCGGTTTTTTAATCACAAAAACGTTGGAAAAACATCATGGATTTTTATGTTTGATCATGCTTGCCTTCAAGATTGATCTACTGTAACCCTTATTCACCTTTGGTTTCCCCTTGTAAAACAAAACTCAAAAAGGACCTCGGATGACGACTTGGATGAATTGGGGTCCCATGACTTTGGCGGAACCAACCATCCATCCTTCATGGCCAGTTCGTGTAGGTCGCAAATGGCAGAATTTGCTTCTTACCCTCTGGTAAACTAACATAACTATGGAAAATCACCAGATTTAATGGGTAAATCCACTATAAATGGCCATTTTCCATAGCTATGTTAGTTTACCAGAGGGTAAATTGTCCTGTAGACTCTAGACTGTTTCAGTATTGGGTGTGGTTCAAAATCTCACCCCTCCTGAAATGGAATGGCAGCAACCAGACCAAGCATATGGGTATGAGGTATGCGTCAAATTGAGTTCCCGGGAAAAATTAAATGGTTCAATCTTTGGTGCAATATATACTGGTTGGTGGTATACCTACCCCTCTGAAAAGTATGAGTTCGTCAGCTGGGATGATGACATGCCCAATATATGGAAAGTCATAAAATTCCATGGTTCCAGTCACCACCAACCAGACCATTAATATTCCATTACCAGAGGGTTAGTCACCATTAAATCACCATTAATATCCCGATTAAATCACCATAATCCAAATGTTCCAGTCACCACCAACCAGTATAGTTAGCATGTAAAACGAACCATTCCATGTTTCCCGTTTTCTTTCGATCACCTGGGTCCTAAATTTGATCATATCCCCATCACTGGTGCACCAAGCGACATGCTCCCAGTACAGCATGGCTCGCTGCCAATCTTCATCTGAGGCGCGGCCCGGCGGTTCACAGATATTTCTTAAAATGGTTGTGGACCCCAAAACCCCAAAAATACCAAAACACATCATCGGGTTTTAATTGAATATGGTTTAATTATCTAAACTTGATCATTAAAAAAACACAGGTGGAAAAAAGTTATAGCTATAGATATAGTAATTAGATGTAATTAGTATTTGATAGTATTTGTCTCATTGATTCCAAGTGTCTGCGTTTTAAGAATTAATTTTCAAGGATCTAAAATGGCCTAACGGCTCGGATGCCGGTAGCCACATCAGAAGAACCCTTTTTTTTTGGATCCCAAGGGAAAGGGGTAAGACTGAAATAACCATGTCAGTGTCATAGAAACCAAACAACATGTCCAATATAGTCCAACAGCATGCTACTAGTACTTGTTCTGGCGAAAAAAAGAGGTTAGACTGGTTAGACATCTCGCATGCTTTTTGAAGCCATGCTGTTGATGGCAAAAATTATCACAGGAACAACCAGAAGATACAAAAATAGGAAAAAGTCGACTGCAGAAGTGGATGATCATCCCCAGGCAAGTTTACAAACAGCAAGACCTTAAGAAACCACTGGAAACACCAAATTAAGGTCGGCTATCTCGCGATTCCCATGCCATTTTCTCGACGCCAAAGTACGGATGAAAGCGACTAAAGTGATACATGTGAAAGGTCTATTGAGGGTCAAGGTCCGTACAACTGTATCAATACATCTACTATGGTATATGTACGACCACCATGTTTGTCATTGTCGGAAGCCCTTTCTCGTTCAATCAGCAGCTATAAACTAGTGGGCCCACCTTTTATAACCAAGCGTGTAGAAGTTCTGTAGCGCACTTGACAAAGTATTACAGTATGAACAATCCAAAGTGGTGGTCTACTAGCTATACCTGGCAACTCAAAACCTTGGCGATTTTAATTTTGCGCTCCTCCCCCCAGACCATTTATAGCGAGTTGGGCTAGGGACATGGATCAACCCACGTTTTTTCCGTGTCAATTTCCGATCACAATTTCTTTGAAGGTGAAATCTTCATTCCAAAGATCATTTTTTGGGCTTAGATGCAAATCGGGGATATTCCAAATCCTCTAAATGTAGACAATTTGGTAATGTTATCTTTTAAACCACTGGCCATGGGGTGGAATGGGTTTCAATCATCTGGATTGAAATTGCCCACCATTTTTTTGATACCTTCATATTCGGTCTACGCTTAAAAGAACCAAATTCCATTTGCTCAAATCCCGTGAAAATTGGCTTTAGTGAAACCCCAATTTCATAATTTCTGAATTTTGAGTGGTTAAATTATGCTTCAACCGCCCATATTCTGTTGGTAAAATATCCACATTCTGTTGGAGAAATCTCCGTTCTGCCCAATCATGTTGGGGTGCATAATACTTCATGGCTTATACAAAGGGATACATATATATATACAGATTTATGCATTTATATTGTAGTAGGCATTTATTGTAGTTGGATTTTACCCCACTCTTCTTCTTGGGGGGGTGCTCTATACCTTGGGTAAATATCCCATATTATTGGTTGTACATCCTAGTATATTAAAATTGCATTCAGGTCCCATCTCAAATTATCCAATGTTTTTTTTTGGTTCCCCTTATATTTATATATTCCATCATTTTCCCATGGGTATATTTCCTAGTTGCCTTCAGGTAGTTTGACGTATAATGGTTACAGTCACCATTTTGTATAGGTAAAATAAATCCTCGAACTACATGGGATATGGCTTCCGTAGCTATGTTTAAAAACCCTCAGGGCAAGTTCCAATTATATATATATATATATTCCCATATATGTCCAAATAATTTCCATATATTTCCAAATATATTCAATGTAATTGTATATATTTCCATATGTGTCCATATCAAATATATTCAATGTAATTGTATATATTTCCATATGTGTCCATATAGTTGATTATATTTGTATATATATAATGTATGTGTATAGTATATATCCTAGTCATGTTTCCATCATTAATACTTAAAGTAGCACATGTGGGACCCCGTGGAGCCGAGACAGCGCCGCCGCGGCCGCCTTCCTCCCCTTGGAGGCGCTGTGCACGGCGCTCGTGCAGCAAAGCAAGCAGGCGCATCCTGACACGTCACCGACCCATCCGACTGCTGCGGGCGTTGCTCTCTTTTTTTTCAAACTGTATGATATATATATATATATATATATAGTAATGTAATATAATGTAATGTAGTAATGTAGTATATAGTATAACGTACTAGTTGTAAATCATTACTATATCATCTACTAGTTGTGGTTGGGGTACCACCTTGACTTTTGAGATCATTTAAGACATCTTGCGGATGTTGACATGTTGCAAATGTGTACGTTGCACATGCTCTCACATGTTCAGGGTGTAAGGACGTCCCTGACAACTTTAAGACGGCTGCACATCAGGGTCATTTTGTCGTCGTTGCAACAGTGGGGTAGTAATATATACCATCTGGTTATGACTAGCATGGGCCATGGAAAAACACAATTTTTAATAGGTAAACCATCTATTTATATGGGCCATTTCCCATGGCTGTGTTAAATAACCAGAGGGTACATATATATATATACATACAACAATATGTATATAATTGCATATGTTGCAAAGTTGATTGAAGATGTTACCCCGTGGATGCTCAGATGAAGAATGCATGTCACGTAAACATAATTCACTGTATATTACAATATTCTTATTACAATATTGTTCTTACAATACTCTTATTCATCGATATCATGTGAAGAATACATGTCAATATATGATGATCATCCCTGATTCAAACTCCAAAACCACAATGATTAAAAGCCCAGGTCCGCCTCAAGGTGGTGGTCCCAAAAACAACATTTTCTTATTGGGAATAACTTGGGGATATGATACATAGACCACATTATAACATTGATTTGCATGGGAATTCATCATGGGATATGCTGGGAATTCATATGAATGAAACATAATAAATTCATATAGTTTATCATGGTATTAACTATAAGAATTATGTTTTATGATGGAGGTATCATAATAAACTATAAACTATTATTATTATTATCATAGTAAACACTATTATGTTTGGGGAGATCATGGTATAAACTCTAAGAATTTGGGTGAACACTTTTTTTTTTGGGAACATAATGGAAACATAATGGACATGTAATGGGGTATCATGGAAATATCACGGACATATGCTATCAACATCTCTAAAGCTGTCCTTAACAAATAATAATATCATGAATTAATCATGGGAGTGAACTTTTCATGAGAATTACCCTCTGGTAAACTAACATAACTATGGAAAATCACAATTTTTAATGGGTAAATCCACTATAAATGGGCCATGTTCAATAGCTATGTTAAATTACCAGAGGGTAATTTTCCTCATACATTTTAGAAATTTGGGGAGATCATGGAAATATCATTGGGATATGACGGATATACTTATGTTTAGTACATCAATGGTGATCATATAATGGGAAATCATCAATGGGGATACCCTCTGGTAAACTAACATAACTATGGAAAATCACCATTTTTAATGGGAAAACTCACTATAAATGGCAATTTTTAATAGCTATGTTAATTTACCAGACGGTATACTGGGAATATCCATGGGTTTTTTTACGTCCAAGAATTTCCGGTGGTTGAGGCACCCATCTTTTGATTCAGTCGTCCTAGTCGGTTTGGACTTTACATTTCCGTATTCTCTCCACTTCAGGATGATATTATAAATATATTATATATATATATAATATTATTATAAAATGTAGCAAGCACCAAAAAATAAGGACAAAGTAAACGCTTTTTTCTTGGGGGAGGTACTGTGTGTATACATATAATATACGGTAATGCCAATATCAGGATTCCTGTACAGCTTCCCAACAAAAAAAAGATCAAACAATGAGGAAACATGTGTGTTTAAGTCTCAACAAACCAAGAAACATGTGAGTTTGACTATCAATAGTACCTACGTAGGTAGGGGCAAATAATCACATAATTAATCTGGTTTCAGCTAGCTGACTACCGCATGTTGGGTCTAATGATGGGATGTAATTACGATCAAAACCTGGAGAATAACATGGGAGATAACCAGCAAAACAGAGGTATGCTGCTGAATGCCAAACATTGGCTTATACGCAGCAAAACAAAGTGTTGAAATCATTAAAATCCAATACATTCAATACATCATCTCAGAATATCACACATGACATGACATTTATATATCTGCGAAAACATATAATTATACTATGTAACTAACCTAAATGAAGGCAATTTGGAGATGATTTCCCTAAAATAAACCATGATTTTTGTGTCTCTTGTTGCTTATTGGACCTTATTGAAATACGGTTATTTCACCATGTTGAAACCTTCTCCGGTGAAATCCACCGAGCTGCTCCGCATGCGCTGTTGGCATGGCAGTGCGCGTATCCAAAAAAGAACGCATCCTGCGGAGGAAACAGGGCCGAAACCAGGAAACCTGCAGATGTGTCTGGACATCCACATGTTTTTTTTGTAGATGTCCCCTTCAACAATCCAGTGAATTATAGGTGGTGTCTAATGATTCAATGTGCCACACTTTGAATTGGTTTTACCTAAGCGTGACATTTCAGGACTGCAAATCTGCAATCCAAATGTTTGCTGCCCATTCAACAGAAAAAATAAGGATTCTGATGCAAACATCAGGAGAAAATATTGGAGACACTGGACACTACAGAAATTCTTAGTTTATGTGTTGAACTAAAGATTCATCAACTAAAAAAAACGACATTTAGCAATCACAAACATTCTGGAACGCCCTTGAGCAAAACTCAACTTGGTAATGCTGAGGCCCTCTCTCTTCCATTCACACCCGATGTTGAGTCCCGCACCCAAATATTTCAAGTGACTAACCACAAAGCGGGACATGAATTAGCTTTGGGCTAGGACCCCTTTACATATTCTATGATTATAGATATGTAGCTTGCACTTCCATGTACCCGTGAAAATTGGTCAACGCATCACAGTTTGAGGGCAACAAACCCATTTACCAAGGTTGAGACATGTAGTGCCCTATGGCCATCTGTCCCCTTCGCATCAAGGTCATTAAACCCCATCAAAACATGTGCTATATATTGTTTTTGTAACATTTTGTGTGTCTGTCAGTTTACATAGACCAATAAAAAAAAGTACCCTCTGGTAATTTAACATAGCTATTGAAAATGACCCATTTATAGTTGATTTACCCATTAAAAGTTGTGATTTTCCAGTTCATTATGTAAACGTTTACCAGGCCGGGTAATATTAATATTCCCATCATATTCCAATGATATTCCCATACCATTATTAACCATTAATAACCACTAATAACCATTTGGGTTCCTAATAACCATTTGGCTTGTAGCTTCAATCACCAGTTTCTTGATTCCACGGGAAAACATTCTCTACAGGAAAATAGTTCCCACAAACGCCGTGTGTTGCCCAGACATTAACATTGAGAATGTCGTGCCGTCGAATATATGATAGGAGAGATTGCAGAAAATACTGCGTATACGCAGTGTTTTCCAGTTTAGGATTCAAAGATTTTCAGAGCCTAGGTTTTAGGGTTTTAGGGTTTGGGGTTTTAGGGTTTAGGATGGTTTAGGGTTTTAGGGTTTCAGGTTCGTGGTCTGGGAAATCTCAAAACCCTGGCCCTGCGCAGGTGTTTGAGCATGTTGAAGGATAATGTTTAAACATGTTTAAACGCCATTTGAACCTTCCGGGCAACACACACAGTGCCTCGCCGTAATAGTCTCAGCAGGCTCATCATTGCACTCGACTATATATAATATTATATATAGATAATATATGTATGTATAGATATAAATTTATACATATACATATATACATTGTGATTCTTAGATACATGCCAAAACACATCTGTTTAGTTGGTTAGTACATTTTACAGTTGATAGCAAAGATTAAAGTACTAATTATTACTAATGTATCAACCAAGGTTGACCCAGTATGTATGTATTTGTTCATTTACCCAGTGATTCCCTCCATCCCAGCCATGCTCAGTCACGTCACCAATGAAGTCGTTTCAAATTAGAGAAATCATTGGTTGACTTGATTGCATCTCTATATGAAACAGACACATACATGTTGTGATTCATATGATAATTTGTGTGCGTGACTTCCTCATATAGTTTCCATAGTCTCGCTATTCCATAATATGTTGTTCAATCATATATATTTCATGTTCACATATATTCCATGTAAATATATTTACATATACATATATATATGTATGTATATATATATATGTATATATATATATATGTATGTATAATTATATGTGTATATATATAGATATATACATGTATTCGATATCATATTCCTGAATATATCCAGAAAATCTGCCCATGTTCGGGCCACTCGACTCCAAGGGACAAGCGATTGGTCGCCAACTGGCTGAGGCCAACGCCTTCGGCCGAAGATAGGCAAGGTTCGGAGAAACAAAGACGAGGGATATCTAGGGATTATATGGACTTATAAAGAAAAATATAAGAATAATATCAGGATTATAATAATATAAGAATCATGATTTTATAATAATATCTAGGGATTATAAGGATTTATTAATATATATATAAATAAGAATAATATAAGAATAATATAAGGATAATATAAGAATAATATAAGAATAATATAAGGATAACAAAAGGATTATAATAATATGTGAATCATGAGTTTATAAGAATATACGGATTATCCCTCAAATCCTAATTTATAAGAGATAATGAGGACTAATAATCTATAAATAATAATGGAGTAATTGTAGTAGTGAATCTAATAGTGAATCTATAATGAATCTAATCACCAGCGTTTCTAAATATCATCATCCAAGTCCTTTTTACACATGGCAAGATTGTTTCCAAAGATGAGGAACTATTTAACTGCTGGGTGGAACCTGCCGATGCATATGAATTGGTCATGGAATCAAACACCACCCCATGTGTTGGAAGAAAAAGCAATGAACATCATTGAAACCCACCAAACGAATACTACATTAACCAATCCCGTTCCGCAAATCAACCTCCTCCTACCAAGTCCGAACAGGGGAATGTTTATTGGCAGCGAGAAGGGATAAAGATGATTCATCAATTTGACAAGCCCGATGAAAGGGGGCTCGCCCCACTCGTCATCTATTGCTTGTGAGGTGGTTTGGAAGCAGTGACGCATGAGTTGAAAACCTGGCATGGGCTTTGATGATGAGAAAGACATCATGTTGATACCATTTGCAGGGAACTCCCGGCAGCTGGGTGGTTCACATCTATAACATATTTGCTCAGCAATAGGAAATTTTCCCCAAATTCGCGACAAATGGATGGTAACCATGAAAACTTATGGTGCTTGTATAGTATTTATTGCTTTGATAACATTAATCATCAACCAAGATCAACCAAACATCATTTGTTAGTTATATCAACTGTTTGTACTTTTATCATCTTTTATCATCTTTTATCATCTTTTATCCACAAGAATATAAGGTGTATCACCAGTCAGTAACCATTTTTCTGCAGTTTCCCAGCTCTCCGCCATCCCCTTTTGGGCACCGTCCAAACGAGCCCGAGCCGATTCGGCCACCAAGGTCTGGGACGTGGCAAAGACCTCGCGCTACGTACCAGTAGGAAGGTGTGTCCATGTTGTTAATCTATGTCTATGTATATACATATCTATATATATATACATAAAGGATGTGTATGTCTGTTGTATGTCATATCTGCATGATGTATGTATATATTACTATTATGTATATATATAGAGAGAGAGACATGTGGGTTTATGTATATCTGATTTGGGTAAATCATGGTGTGATGTGTTTTGCATGGTTATACCTTACAACACCTTTTTTAAGGGAAAGAGGTGTTGAAGTGGCTGGTCATCCCTTGCAAGTAGGCAGTGAGGCTTCAAACAGGAAATCCCTCATGATTCAATTGATTGATTCAACTACCAGTATGGTAATCATTAGGAACATTAACATGTATGGCAAACATAAATTTAATGTTCAAATCAAAACAACCATGCATGGTTTCTACATGTAAATAAAACATGAAAATCCACAGGAAAGCATGGTTTTTTCCATGTAAACCCTGTAGGTGTTCCCTTGAACCAATTCCTGGGCTGATATGTTTTGTCTGGGTTCCGGACCCAATCAAAGTCTGTCCCATTGGTAATTGCGCTCGTCAACGCTTCCTCAGCCGCGGCACCCTGGAGTGCAGATAATCTATTCATCCACGTGTTGAGCTTATCAACCAACATGCTACTTGGTCCAGCATGTAAATGTAGATATATATATATAATAGTTCATGATAAACATGACCATTCATATCCAAACAACAAAATATGTGTCCAGGTAATGAAGCTACAAGCAAGATCTGATCACATCCGGAATGCCACAACCCCTCTGTCTCTGACACTCTTACTCTCTCTCTCTCTCTCTCGGTGGCCTACTTGAAATGACATAGAAGTCCAGCGAAGAACCTCCATCGTGTGATGAATTTGGATTCTCCTGAACATGGAGGCCGCAAATCAAACTCAAACTGGTCAGTTGGTCTCTGGTAGGAAACCCTCTTTCAATTCTAAGCAACATCATGTAATTACATGTAATTACACAAAAACACCTTGTGAGGTTGGGGTTCACTACAAAAAAAACAAACTAGCTCGTTTAACATCCGGCACCCCAATCATGACCGTCAACCAAGGTACCACGATGGGCTGTGCAATTCGTTCAGCTGCAACCTCGCAGAGATCTCAGATCTGATTATTCAACAATTTGCCAGGATAGATTGAGAAACCATGTGTAATGTTTGCTTTTGAACGTCGTGTAATACTTTCCGACTTTCGAATACTATGGCAACTGTCATATTTTGGTGTTTTATCTGGGATGAAGTAATTCATGCCAAAACCAGCTATATCAGTACAAAAGCGTAGAGCTGTCTACAAAAAATGGAAGCTCCAACGTAGTCTGGTGAACTTCTTCCGAAGGAAAGATCTTTGGTCTCCAAGGAAAGCAAACTCAAAGCCGCGCTATGGTAATTGGCAACTTACCCTTCTGCAGGGGGAGCCTCAGAGTCATATAAACCTCATGTGCAAAATTGGAAAACGGTGACCATTCACTTCAATGCCGACTAGCTGAGGCAGGGGTGGTGCTAATCATCCACAGCGACAATCCTTGAACCTATCCATTTCCCTAACTTTTCCTAGGGATTTATATAGCCATGACGTTAAGATGCCCATGGAATGGGATGGATGCCCAGAAACCATGAATTCCATCTTTTGACCATATCCCATACCATTGGTTGTACAGAATATCCCATGACATCTTCCAATTTTTCCTACTTAAATTCACATGATCCGGTGGTGTCCCACTAATCGTAAGTGGGAACTAAACTTACAGTACTATATCATATCAATGGGAGATCTCCAGGATCCCAAAATGGAGGTACGTTAGTACCATATAAGGCCATATTTTGGGGGGATATCCCCTTACATAGCCCTTTTGTAGGCCTTATATATGGTAGGTACCTCCATTTTAGGTTCCTGAGTCATGGCCATTGATCATAGCTTAAAGTATTCCATACAATCATTTGCACCTCCCGGAAAATTCCCAGCATTCATACCCCACTAAATCCCTGGACCGTCAAATTAGACATCCCTAAAAAATGTATGGTTAATACTAAAGATGAACAGAATCTGCGGGCACCTGGGCCTTTGAATGGTTTGACCCATTCCCATAGAAATTCATCAATTCATCCCACGAATCCCATTGTTGATAATTTATCCCTATTATCCCTATGATGATCTCCCTGGTTGATGGTCATAATCCGTTTTTGTTGGCTAAGTTTCCACTTCCGATTGTTCAATACCCAAAAAAAATGTTGCTTAAACCAAAGTTGTTGATGGTTCATTCATCCTAATACAGATCATCATTAATCCCATGAATCATAATTATGTGATGATCAGCAATCATCACCATTACCCTCTGGTAATTTAACATAACTATGGAAAATCACCATTTTTCATGGGAAAATCCACTGTAAATGGTGATGTTCCATAGTTGTGTTAAATTACCAGAGGGTAATCATCATTAATCCCATTAATCATATCCGATGGTTAATCCCATTCATCCCATCATTATTCTTGATCATCAGTCCCCATTATCCACACTATTTTCCATGGTATTTTCCATTTTGTTGCTGCTTCCCAGCACCATCATCTTACTGGTGCTTAGTAGGGAATGGATGGGAATGGGGGAATGGGGGTTGCTGGGATGATCATTACTAGTGATTACGGATCATTCCCGAAAATTCCCTACGTAAAACGCACAAGTAAGTTTTGCTAGCTACCCTCTGGTAAACGTTTACATAACTATGGAAAATCACCATGTTCAATGGGAAAATCACCATTTTCAATGGGAACATCACCATTTTCAATGGGAAATTCCACTGTTTCTATGGCCATTTTCAATGGGAAAATCCACTATAAATGGTCATTTCGCAACTCCCGGCCAAGGTCCCTGAGGTGCCACACGCGGCTCTGTACCTCCGAAGGACCCGACTCACTGTGACGCAGATCCTGGACCACGGGGCTGTCTGAACCATCCGTGATGATTTTAATAACTGGTTGGTGGTTAATGATGGTTAATGATGGTTAATGATGGTTAATGATGGTTAATGATGGCTAATGATTGTTAATGATGGTTAATGATGGTTAATGATGGTTAATGATGGTTAATGATGGTTAATGATGGTTAATGATGGTTATATAATGGTTAATAATGGTTAATAATGGTTAATAATGGTTAATAATGGTTATATAATAATGGTTAATGATGGTTATATAAAGGTTAATAATGGTTAATAATGGTTAATGATTGTTGTATAATGGTTACTAATGGTTAATAATGGTTAATGATGGTTAATAATGGTTAATAATGCTTAATAATGGTTCATAACTGGCTGATGGTTGAGCCACCCCTCTCAAAAATACGAAAGTCAGTTGGGATTATTAATTATTATTCCCAATATGTGGAAAAATAAAACATGTTCCAAACCACCAACCAGATAAGGATTGGATGTGGTTAAAACAATGCCATAAACCAGCACTGGGAATGGTTTATATATACCACTCATTTATGGTGATTTTGGGGATGGCATATTGTTGCTTTAACCACACCGTAGTAAACAAATGATAACATGTGTTGGTAAATCCTGAGCGGTTGAACCGCCCAGCTCTACCGTGATGTATTTAGAATTTGGTCGCTAGCGTCGCTACGTATTTAGCACTATTCGTGATGTGGTTGGGAAACTCTTAGAAGTTCCTTCACTACCATAATAGAGAATATGGATGCCTAAAGCTCCTGGCTACCTCCTAACCATTGGATAGTTGATAAGAAGTAATATGAAATATTGAGGATTCATAATATAACAGTTGCAGTTTTACCAGTAAACTTGGGGATCTTACATAAGAATCGCGGGGGACGGAGGACATACATTGATGTAACCAGTTTTATAGGTGATTTACCAATGGAACGATCATTAGAGCATATTTGATCATATTTGCACGTTTGTTCTATGTGGCGATGTGCACAAATGAGGGATGTGCCGCCAGTAAGTTGGTAGACATTGGAATATATATATATATACAGACACATACATACATCCAATAAAATACAATGAAATACAGTATCGCACGTATAAGGTGTTGCGGATGTTGCTTGCCGTCCGTATGTTGCTTACTGTCCATTTTGCCATTTTGGTTGTTACCCATCGCAATATCCCACGGGATATGTTGATTGGTACCCTTAGCCCAATCCAAAAAACATGCGTTGATTTTGTTGGGAATACTATGGACCAAACCCATTGGTCACTGTGGGTAAGTTTTAGTCTTAGCGGAAACACATGATTTCCCCATCAAATATGCACATTTTCTGTATTTATTTCCTACATCTATTTCGGGGAATGGGACCAAGGCTGTTTACCACGAGCAGGAAGCATCACCTCTTTTGCAATGACCTCTTATTACTGTTCCCTAATCCAGTGGATGACGTTGTCATCCTTTGTCAACACCACAGTTCCATGACTCGACATCATCAACCAAACCGTTTCATCTTCAAATGACAAAATATCAATCAGCTGGAAGCACCTTCAGGCATAGGGATGGACAGTGCTGCATATATATATATACTATAATACACATATGTATATATATATATATAATAATAACAATAATAATAATTAGTAATATTAATATTAATATATATATACATAATATTAATAATAATAATAACAATAATATATTATATTAAAATATATATTTATTATACAATATTATATAAAATTATATAAATATGTTCTCCATTCACAAGGGCTAGAAACGAAAGATTTCTGCTATGACATTCCTGGTCATTCTGAGTGTCTCGAATCCTTCTGAGCTGCAGGGAGCTGTCCTTCACCGATTCAATCCATGGACCTGCGAAAACACCTACAAGGTGTCTGGTATACCTAGGGTTTATGGTAGATTATGTATATATGCTATTTATAAATTTATCTACCATATGGTAGGTATACCAGAATAGGTATCTACCATGAAGAGGAGGATCTACCATTATATCCATAAGCTATGTGTATAGTGAAACTCAACCACCTGAGGATGTTGTTTCTTCAATGCTGCGCCTACCTTGACCCCCCCTCGGTCCTCACAAACATGACGATCCATCACGCTGCCGGGCCAAGGAGTGCCACACCTGGTGCTTGAGCCATCTTCGCAAGAGGGGAGACTCCATGATGTCATGGGGGTACCACAATAGCTGGATGGTTTGTTTCACGAAAAATCCGAAAATAACATGGATGATTTGGGGGGTACCCGGAAACCTCCAAGCATTTTTTGTGAATGTTTACAACACATCTACGACTGCGGATAGTCCTTACTTTTTTCCACAGTATTTTATATCTCGGTGCCTTGCAGAAGAGATATCGCACAGCAATTCACAGTTGGATGCCCTGAAATTGGGTATCAATGGCCAAAATCATCCAATTCAGAATCATTGGTTTTATACGGTTTTATCCCATATTTGATGGTTTGATCCTCATATTTGCCCATATTTCAGTGGGTAGAATCTGAATCTTTGAGGCTCCTGTTTTACTTGCCCGTTCTGATGGAAGAATCATAATCATCATGTTCCGGAGTAGAATCCTCTTGTGTGATGGTTCAACCATTCAACCATGTTACACCGGTAAAATCACACATTTTCCACCATGTTTTTGTCTCCCCCAGATGGAAACCCCCATGGTTCATATCTTCGTCTTAGCTCCTGGTGGCTTTAGCGTGCGCCTTCCGCAGTGCGCCATATGGCAGCCTGCTGGAGATAGCAGTGATAGGAGTGATAGCTTAAAACCCCTAATGAACCACTGGATTGAGTTGGGGATTTGGAGATTTTTTATCACAGAAACATATGTGGATTGATTTACCCTTGGTACTGGTTGGTTACATAGTTACATAATGTGTATGTGTAACTTTTGTTCATGGTGAGCTCACCCATAGTTGTCAAATAATGGAATGAATATGAACCCAATGACACAATGCACCTTGGACTGCTGGCCAGGTATCCAGTAGCATCTTTTGTTGGTCTGTAGCAATATTTCTTTCTAAGGCATCGATACTGGAGGCCGAAAGAACATCAAACCACACCAAACGCTTCCGATATTCGGACGTGTGATGTCATGTACACATCAGGTCCTAATTTATGTAGCTAAAATCAAAATACTCACCAGCTAATGTGGACAGATTCATGAACAATGAACAAAATCGAAGATTCATCATGGCAAAACCTGCTTATTCTTCAAAAGTCTGGAGACCATGATGTGATGTATATATATACCACCAAATCTAGATACTCATCATACCAAAAGGAATCTATACAATTATATATATACATATATCCTCCAAATATGCATAATATATATATGTATAATATCCTTTAGATATGGTGAAAACAAATATGAACCCATTATTCACCACTTATCCAGCGCAATTGGAGCAACCACACAGTTGTGGGCATTAGTTACGACTGGTTATTTCTCTATATATATATATATATATGTCTATGGGATATACATAACCATTATTATGGCTAAATGGGGTGAATTGTTAAACTGTTAGTACTTGTAACTGCTATTTCGGGCGTTAAAACTGCAGCTCTTTACCAGTGATCGAGCAGTGTCCAAGACCATGTTATTGGATTATGATCTGCGCCAATATGGTTAGCACATGTTAGTACAATCCACAAACTAATTAATTATCAACCAACCATCATTTATCAATTATATATCAGCACTTATATATCCTCGTAGTTTGATCATCAATCATATCCACGAACCCCCCCAAAGTTTCACGGAAACAAAAACACCTATAGATTCTATAAACGCCTATTGAATCATATTGAAATCCTATCCCCATAGTTTAAAGGCAAAAACACCTAGTAAACACCTATTGAATTGTCTTGAAATCCCGAACTGATCCTCAACGAAAACCGCGCTGGTCGACTCGCTTCTTCTTAAGCACCTGGACACGGAAACGGAAAGGGCTTGTCCCAGGGCGCCGGCGGCAAGAGCGCTGCGCACATCCGATTGCTGCAGCAAAAACCTGCAGTTATGGCCCGAAATACCAGTTATAAGTACTAACAAAACCCCATTTATAGATTGTAAAATCCCATAGAAATAACCAGTTATAACTAATAAATGGCCATAACTGTGGTTCCATGTGGCGTCCGGGTCAATCAGTTGAATGAAGCTCCAATTGATGGGCGATTTTAAGATATTTTAAGGAGATAAGGATCAAACATGGCATACAGTATGCACTTCTGATGGATTTAAACAACTTGCACAGGATGGAGATTTTCAGATAAACATCGGGAATCAACATGCATAACAAGACACAAATGCGATCTCAACTGGCAATGGGATGTGAACCAACAAACACAAACATATACACAACAAATAATATATATAAGCAGCACTTGTTCAGTCCATTGGGCATTGGCACAACTGGTATTTCCAACCAATAAAATAGTGGAACAATAGAACGACGTGGATGCGTACCAACCAAAAAAGGAATAATGACTCACTTGCCAAATCAGCGACCAGTGGTCGGTGTTTTTGGATGAGCATTCCAATCACCAGAAACTTCATCAGCTATCAAAACTAGAAAGGCAAGGTTGTACATGTATGATCATGTATGTACATGTGGTATTTAGAAAGCGTAGAACATACAGAATCAGTCAGAAAGCGGATATGTTTTCAATTTGCCGCATCAACCATGCCAGGTTAGATGGAGGAATTTCTTGTTGACACAATTCCGGCGGGGAACAAAAACCGGTCAATATGCTGAAATCGGAAATGGGGGGATGTCACGTGGGGATGTCCAAAAACTTCTTTTCTGCATCACGTTTTGCTTCGAAGCAGCTGAACAGAAAAAGTCAGCCTAAAACGAGGCACTTTGGCCATGAATCAAGCTGTGACTGGCAGCGGCACGGAAATCCGACAGCTGGTTACAACCGGCCGCGATCGGTCTTCTGAGGAATGGCTCTTCCCCCAACGACCTGTCCTTGCAAAGCTCCCACAGCAGAAGCCTGGGAAGTTGGCGCTTCCTGTCGGCTGCTTTTGTATCTCAACCATAGGCAACCACAAACTCCAGCACAAACGCAGATGGACGCAAAGAATCCGATGACGATGCCAGCCAGATCATCTCCGCAGTTCTCCACACAACATTCGGTGAAAACTGTTGCCAAGTACTCGTCGCAATTGAGGATATTGTACATACAATCTTCGGTCTCGCAAGCTAAGCACTCATGACATTTGTCTTCATCGCCTATGAGATTCAAGCAACTGCTCTGCATCTCTTCCTCGGGCCGCAAGTCGCACATCGAAACATCGTTGGCATCGTGGTAAGTGCCATATCTTCGTCTGCTTCCTGCTGTCAGCAGAACCACTGCGCCAAACGCACCAGCACTGGCAAAGGCTGCAGGACTGGTCACGACACCACCTCCACCGGAGTACTGTTGTACATTATTCGCTCCACCCTTATCACTGCCACCCTTGCTGTTCACTCCCAAAATGAACAATGCACTGAGTGAAACCTGTAACCATCTCATTGGTCAACGGCCTTTGAGCAACCCGCAGCGGAGACGAAGATCATGCCCGAGAACCCCAATTCTTCCATTTCCAGCGTGTCTGTGTTCATTCTACTGTACAATACATCAAACCAGGTCTTAAACATAAACTCACAAAATCTAGGTCATTCTCACTACTTCCAGTCACTTTGCTGACGATCATTTGGCTCCAACGGTTTGGGCGCTAGATCCGTCCTACCGTAGTTTCAATACAGTAATTGTTCAAATCCATATTTAAAAAAACCTTGGATGAAACGAGTGAACAAACTGAACTTTTGAGGGTTTTCTTCTGGGATGATTCATGATTCGTGAATTCACGATCACTCTGGATGATTCAGATCACCCACTGTCCAAACCGTTGGCGATATACCATCAGCGATCATCTTGCTATAACAATTGAGTATCTCTATGACAACTGCAAAAGTGACAACTCTAGAGAATAGAGCGCGATGTTTCCCCAAAACAAGGATAACCTCTGGTAAACTAACATAGCGAACTGGAAAATCCACCCATGTTTAATGGGTAAATCCAATTTTCATAACTAGAAATGGCAATGTTCAATAGTTATGTTAGTCATTACCAGATGGTAATCACCATTATTTCACTATTAGCCATTAATAGCCATTAATAACCTCCATTAATCACCATTAATCACCATTAATCCCTCTCCAGGTCCATATATGATACAAGATGTATGTCCTCTCCAGGTCCATCATTAGGTCTCAATTACCGGGGTCCTGCAAGGTCCATGCGAGATAGAACTTGTTTTAGAAGATTTTTTGAAGGACTTCTGGACAACGAAACTTTCTTTCTAACCCCAACTAGTTGGAAACTACCAATTTGATAAATTTGATAGTTCGAGAATATTGGACATGTTGATACATTCTGATACATTTTCTCTAGCCGTGATCTCGTATGGTCAGTGATCTCTAGCCGTTCTCCCAAAATCTGTTGATCTTCCCCATCCATTACAACGGGCATGCGGATTCACGAAAAAACAAACATCTCCGACATATCCCATGTGTTGGTGGTTAATGATGTTTAATGATGGTTATATAATGGTTAATAATGGTTTATATACTAGTCGGTGGTTGAGCCACGCCTCTGAAAAATATGAGTTCGTCAGTTGGGATTATTATTCCCAATATATGGAAACATAAAACATGTTCCAAACCACCATATATTATATCCTATGATCTTTCTATTTGGTCCAAGCTCAAAGCCCCATGATTGAACCATTCCTATCGATTTTGAAAATCCTTGTGTGTCCACAACCATATTTCCATGACAATATAAGACTATATATTCCCTGAACTCACCCCATTCACGGTTATGTTATATACACCTATACCAAACTGTGTATATATATATATATACCATAACCGTTATGTATATCATGGTATGTCATCATATTCCAATGATATCTTTATATGGCTGTTTCCAAAAATGACAGATCCCCAACATATCTTGTTAATGGAAAATTCAATATTTAGGGGTACCACAATTTCAGGAAACCTGCATACCCTCTGGTGAACTAACATAGCAATGGAAAATGGCCATTTATAGTGGATTTTCCCATTAAAAATGGTGATTTTCCATTGCTATGTTAGTTCACCAGAGGGTATATTGTATGTCCTCTGAAATTCCCATAAACGAAGCATCACCGGCCCCGGCGGGGCGACCTCGCCCGCCGTTCTCTTGAAAGCGCGCCCGCTGTTCCAGCTGCAGCCACTCCTCTTGGCCGCTGCAGCCCGCGATGATATCCTGATGAAATCATGGGGAGCCTAGAAAGATGTGGGCTTTCGTAATGATTTACCCTCTGGTAAACTAACGTGTGGCTATAGAAAATCACCATTTTTAATGGGAAAACTCACTATAAATGGGCCATTTTCAATAGTTATGTTAGTTTACCAGAGGGTAATGGGATAATAACGGGATAATGATATGTGATATGAATATGGATACTAGATATGAGTGGAAAATAACAACTACTTGAGCAAATCCAAGAAATAATGTGACACAATCATGACATGTACCAATTTTGACTGGTTCATATCCTCATGGTCAATCTTTGTCAGTCCGCAAAAACAAATCTGTTGCGGGGTCCATAAGGTTGAGCCATAGTCAAATGGTACAGCAGCCAGTTGAGCTTTTTAGGTTGTAAAAAGAAAAGGTTGAGCAAAGTGACTTGCAATCACCACGGGTATGAACCACTTGCAAAGTGGACTGCTCATACGCACCCAGCTCTTGCCTGCCGATTACATCCCCAACATCCCTCAGCCATTCCGACTAAAACCCTGGAAGCGGCCCGGAAGTTGTGAAACGATGCTTGGAACATGTAGGGGTCAGGATTGCCCAACATTTCCAGCATCCAGAACAGGTCCAAGGTGCTAATTCCTGAAGTTTGTGAGAAGAGTTCCTGGGCTTCGAATTGGCAACTGGGCACCCAGGGCTTTGGACCTGAGGAAACCACCTCACTATCCAAGAAGTCCAAGAGTCCAAGACATTTCAAACAATGAACACCGTATGTTGAGTGGTATGTTAGGCACTTCTTGAGGCAGTCCCAGATTGCCGTCGACTGGCAGTGGCAAATCCCTCATTGGTAGATGAGTTGTGACCTTATTTTCCCACCACGAGTTTCCCCGAGTTTGGAAACCATTGCCATATGAAATTATACCAGATGGTAATGATGGTAATTCTTCACCATTTTGGGATTTTGGGCTACCCTCCATTTTCATCAGGCATGGCTGGCTGGAAGATCCACCATTTATATGATTTTCCAATTGATACCTCCATTTTCATCAGGGATGTTCAAGCTTGCCATGTTTGATTGCTGGAAGGCATTAATATTCCATCATTAAATCAAATCCCATGAAAATAGGTGAAACGCCCCCATGAAATCCCTCTTGTAATCCCTATTGTCCCACCGTTGATTTTTTGTTTTTTTAATGACCATTTGGGGCTATTAACAATGGATAAAACAAGATATATATATACTCTATGGTATATGACCATTGCGAATCCACTATTTTATATTAGTTTGTTATATATATATATATATAATATGTATACCAAAGTTATCGCATTATGGCATATTACCATGATAAATATATACTTTTTATATGTTCACATGGTATTTCCCACAAATTTATCACTTATGATCCTGGCCACCCCCGTCCCCCGTCCGGCATTCCCAAGGCTCAAGGGACAGCGCGTCCCATTGCTGATCAGATGTTGCCGGAGGCACTTCCTACAGACCGCTTCCTGGCAGGAGACACGGCATGGAAACCACCATTTTTTACCACATTATTGTGGAATCTGTGTATATATAAATATACGATAAATTCTGTGTAGATATGTATAGATATTTACTATTTTTTGTTATTTCTATTGCTTATGTACATGACATGTACCAGTAGTACCGCACAAGGCGGTGGCGGAAGTTTCAAAAATAGGAAACCTATAGGAGAAATTGGTTGTTGTGAATCAGGGATGGCAGAGCGAAGCCACTGATGGACTGAAACGTGCTTGATCTCTCTCACTCTTTCTCTCTCTTTCTCTGGCTATCTACCTACCTACCCATCTATTTTCTATGTATCTATCTATCTGTTGATCTAGCTATCTATCTCCCTCTTTCTCTCTTTCATCTCATTACCTATCTACCTATCTACCTATCGACCTATCGACCTATCTATCTATCTATCTATCTATCTCTTCATCTATCGATCTATTGTTGTTGTAGTTGTAGTTGTTGTGGTTGGTGTTGTTGTTGTTGTTGTTGCTGTTGCTGTTGTCGTCGAAGTTAGTGTAGTTAAGTTAGTGAAGTTAGTTAAGTTAGTCAAGTTAGTTAAGTTAATCAGTGTCTACTTTTTCGACATCTTCACGTCAAAACCCTCAGTTTTTTTACACTTTTGACTTCGAAATGTGCTTCGCGCCACAACGGCGTGCACTTTTTTGACACTTTTTCGACATCTGAACCTCCAAAAGTGGTCCGAGACCGTCAGTTTTTAACACTTTTGACTTGGAAATGTGCTTCGCACCACAACGGCGTGCACTTTTTCGACATCTCAACTTCCAAAAGTGGTCCGGACCTGGTGTGTTTTGTACATTTTGACTTGGAAATGTGCTTCGCGCCACAACGGCGTGCACTTTTTCACATCTCAACTTCCAAAAGTGGTCCGAACCTGGTGTGTTTTGTGCATTTTGACTTGGAAATGTGCTTCGCGCCACAACGGCGTGCAATTTTTCATCGCTCCTGTGGCCAGCTGGCTCCGCACCCGCCGCTTTAGCGAGCTTACTTTTCGACCCTCCGGAGCCACAAATCATTGGAAAAACACAGTGTTTCGCGACTTTCCCACCTTTTCGCGCATCTGCATCTTCTTTCTTCCTGACTCTTTCTCTTCTGATCTTCTCTCTTCTAATCTTCCTCTTCTCTCTGCCTCTGCCCTGCTCTGCTTTTCATCTGTCCATATTGTCGGAAGTTTGACTTCTAAACTTCCTTCGATTATATGTATGTGTAATATAGCTGTGATATGTAATGTTGATATATTATACAGTGTACAAGTCAGCCAACTGCAAACCAATGGACATGAGTAGGGAACTCAAATGAACTCAATCACCTATCGCCCCGACCACGACATATCGCTTATATACCGTATCCATGATGTGTTAAGATAGGAAACATGTATATATATATACACATTAAGGTTTAAACTCATGAGGCTCTTGGCGGCTCTTGTCTTCTCCAATTCGAAGAGTTCAGTGGTCTGGAAAGTCAAGGTTCCATCACGGTCCCATGTGGTACGTGATAAACTACCCATGTCTTACGGATCTTGTACCAATCTTGCTGGAGTCTATGTCATGTACAACTAGGTTGTTATGTGTTTTCTTGTTATTACTAACTTAGTCACTAGGACGCATATCCAAGTATTACAAGTTGTGCGTGGCTTCACACCAGCCCAATGACATCCCCAATGCCTGTAGTCGTCTGGTATCAGTGCTGGAGAGTTGCCATGTTGCTTGGAACATAGCCAAACTATGCCAAACCCGGCAAAGTCAATAGCTGGTGAGGTTTTTTAAATATGGCTATGGGTCAAAATTAGATACCATCTGGTTATGACTAACAGTTCGCCATGGAAAATCACCATGCTATTAAGTTCGGTAAATCATCATAGACCCTCTATTTCTTTGGACCATTTTCCATAGCTACGTTAGTCATAACCAGGGGGTAACCCAAAAACTGGATCCCCTGGGCAAAAGACTAGACTCTATAAACTATACCCTCTGGTAAACTATATAAACTTAACATAACTATGGAAAATCATCGTCTTTAATTCGTGGGTCTGTCGCATTTTCGAACGCTTTAAGAACTCTTGTGTAAAATCTGTAAACTATATTTCAGATATACAGATATATATATATATATAATTATGTATATATATATGAAATTTAGCCGTATATATATATATATATATGTAATAGTTGGCTTATTCCAAAATTCATTTTGAATGTAGAATTGAGCAGTTTCTGTAAGGAACTGTGGCTTGGCTCTACCGTATTACGGTGCCCAAGTTACATCGTTTCCAGTTGACCTCTGTCCATATCCATGATTCGTGAAGCACCAAGCAGTTACTCTCCACGCCATCTGCAAGATGGAAATGTCATTCTACAGTTATGGCCCTTTACCAGTTATAAGTACTTACAACCCCATTTATAGATTGTATAATCCCATTTATAACCAGTTATAAGTAATAAATGGCCATAACTGTAAGATTCCAATTCATACACAGATTGAAAAATCCTTGGTTGGCTTTTTTCCACCTGTTTGGATGTTTCTGGCAGACATCAGTTGTATGTGTGAACCCTCAATGTACCCATAAGCCCAAGAAAATCCTGGGCCCACCCAAAATCTGTTTGGTTCCATGGCAACAGTTTGGGGGATGTATCTGTTGGGGGATCACTGAAAATATAGTTTTTGGATTTTGAAAAATATTATCTAATTTCCATATAAAGACAACATTCAAATATCTGGGTAAATTATAATATTTCACTAACCTGAATAGTTCGGCCATTTGGGGATGATTTCCCTCATTAACCATGATTCCGGGGTTCGGGAGAACAGTGATGTCGTTATAATTTACCTAGAAATATACATACCCTCTGGTTCTTTAACATAGCCATGGAAAATTGCCCATTTATAGATGATGTTCCCATTAAAACCTCTATTTATACAGGGATTTTCCATGGCTATGTTAGTCATAACCAGATGGTAAACGATCCCAAGTCTTCGCTCATTCCCTGACCTCACAGCACTGTAACACGATCCAGCGCTGCGTATGGTCAAAGCCCCCAGCCGAATCCAATCTCACCTGCGCGACGGCGCATGGGAATTGCAATACCATCTGGTTATTTAACATAGCCATGGAAAATCACCATTTTTAATAGGTAAACCCAGGTAAACCATCTATAAATGGGCCATTTTCTATGGCGATGTTAAATAACCAGAGGGTACGTTGCCTCACTTTGGTAACATAGCAATAGGAAATCCCACGAAAGTCTCCGCCCAAAATATGGAGGTTGGAAAGAAGAATCATCGAACTAGAATGAACAGTTGTGGCCCGAAATACCAGTTATAAGTACTAACAAGTCACCCCATTTATAGATTGTTTGTTATCCCATTGAAATAACCAGTTACAACTAATAGCCATGGCCATAACTGAACAAAATCAGTGATTTTCCAGCCAGCCAGGTTTGATGATTATTATCAGATGGTACAAAAGAGATGTCCAAGGAAGATTAATGCAATTTTGTTGCCTGCCAAAATATGCCGGATTTGACAAGTTTGGCAGGATTTCTACATACAGAAAAATAGTTTGGAACTACAAAAAAAACTTGTATCACTGAAAACTTTCAGGCATGTTTGTTTATCTGCAAACAAATGGAATGTGATAAATCACAAATATGTGGATTGCACCGACTGTGGACTCAAAAATAGTATAGATCATGAGAGCACAAATAGTTGTTGGACAGCTTGCATGTGGATTTTACCCAAAGAAGCAAAACGTGGATTTCACTAAATCAAGAACGTTGGGCACCGATAGAGATGCTTACGGCGACACCTGCAAGATTGAAGAGAATTTACCACACAGCGTCTAACTTTGATGATCATACTAAATACTGTAGATCGAGCTGGTGTGTGTGTGTGTGACCGGATATGTCTAGATATACTTAGATATACCTATTATGGGTATAGTAATTGTGCTCGTAACAGGTCGCAAGTCAAGTTTAAACAAGTTCAAACAATCCTGACATGGCACGATCAACATGGCACAATCAGCTCCCTTTGAATTGATTTCACCCAAAAGCCTCCAGACAAATGGGACAGCGCGTCTCAGCGTCATGGACGGCAGGTCCAACATCCATGTATTCTGTAAAGTCGACGTCCTCACCGGGGCTTTGCGGGTCATGGGTCCCCCTGTTGGCTGGGAATCTGCCTCTTGTTGTCTCTCTTACAGTGGGACAAATTGGCAAAGTATGGTTTCTTATTGGGATTACTCACCCGCCAAACGAAACCCTGGTGCAATGTATTGCCCTGGTTTAGTAAAACCAGGATCTATTGATGAGAATGGGGTCCCATGCTCGCTCCCATCTTTTGGGAGTATCATGGATTCGATAGAAACAACGATCCAAGACTTCATAGTCCTATAAAGCATCAATCAAATATCCTGATACAACTATTATGGATCAGATTTCATCATCAATATCATGAATTTCATAGATATTCGTTCATATTCATTGGATATATATATATATATATTTGTTCCAAAGTTTAAATATCAATGAATATCATTGTCCGATCCCACAATGTTCATTGATATTTCCATTCGATTTCCATTGAATTTTCAATGAATATAAATTGAATATCAATGAATATCAACTTTGAAGTTTCAATGTTCATTGTCAGGTTTCATTGATATTCAAACTTTGGATCCCAGCTCCTCCGCCGTCTCTTCAGAGAGCTCCGACATCTTCCGCCTTCCATGGGTGGCCTCACGGAAAGCGCCAGGCTTGGCGCTTGGGATGGCGGCTTTGGGGAAACATGGGGAAACATGGGAAAACCCATCGAAACATATATATATATATATACACATATAATTATATTGTATATATATCATGTAAATCATATGAAATAATATAACCAAACAAAACAAAATCAGTGCATAGTGCGGCCATCAGCAACACTCATAGTCTTAATCTAGGATAATGGAACAAATTATCCAATGGATTGTTCCAACCTAAATTATGTAACTCGAATGTAGAATCCGAGCTGGTCGATATTTCATACGAGTATCATCCACTCGTTGGGCTAGGAACGGAACCCAAAACATTATTATTGATTAGTAGGATTTTACGATATTTTACGACTTACATCCTCGTATTATTTAATATCTCCCAGAAACACTGGTTAAGGATTGGATCTTTTCATTTTGAGGGTTGTGGGGGTATTTTCTATGCATTTGATATTTGGTGGATGGGATTACCAACACATGTTTGATAGGTGAGGTCCTAAAGGTAGCAAAGTCCCCATTGTTGATAGTTATATCTTATGTTATCATGTTGTATCCATGTGCATCCAATTAAATACCATTATAGTCGTCCATTGTGTCCCCCATTATATTCCATGAAAAACCCAATACATCCCGTTGTTTCCCATTGTGATGACGGGCCTATGCGTTTTTTTCCCGGGTGCAGCTATACCCTTGTTGACCCATCCGTCCATCCGTGACGCACCTTCGGCCAACCAGGCATTGATGGAGCTCCGTGAAAAATGCTTCGGCCATCCACGGGGGGAAATGAGGTGAGCGTCCCTTCAACGCATCCAGGGATAGGGTGGGTAAATACGTAGGGATTTCACACAAGCAAACAGGGTCTATGACAGAAAATGCTGCTAGAATCTGCTGGATGTTGCAGGTGGTGGGATGTGAAAATGATGAAAGTGCCTAGGCACATAGAGACTGATCAATCCCATGCAAGTGTATGATGACAGTAAATAATCTGGCTTTGGGGCTAGGAAACTGGAGAAGATGATCAGGACGGGGACTAGCCGCCACACATCTGGACTTCAGCTTTGAATGTTTTTGGGTGCTGTCTCCACCAATATGTTTATATAAGCATCAACCACCCTCCACAGTGACACCCCCAAGAGTAAGGATTTTGAAAGGGCTGACCCTCCAGTAAATTAACATAGACCCTGCCAGATAGGGGAAGATTAGTTTCCATTAAAAATTGGTGATTTTCTTACCAGAGGGTAAACCCCACTTTTACCGGTGACATCCGGTGACCTATCATCATTTGGGATCGGCTCAGGTTCAGAATTATTGCCCCGCAAATGGTTGAACACTGAACCTGACCACATTTCTGGTTCCATTGGTGCCCCCCGAATGGGGTCGGTGACATGCACCAGAAATTGACGCCTCAACCATTCGCGATGGTCGCCTTTCTTCAGCTCAACTATGCTCAACTCATGACCTTCTCTACCGCCCTGCCATCCCAGGAGTCTCGCAGTCGAGTCGTCCCGGGTCAAAGGACATTTACAGCTTGGTCACTGGGAGAAGAATCAGATGGGAGCTCAAAGACTACGGAGTTGTGAGGATGATAAGTGTCATGTAAACTAATTCGGTGAAGAACTATGTGGCTTTGCTTGGGAGGATCGTGGTCTGGCATTTTAATACTGGTTGCATCTGTATGCCATGCTTAATGATGGGCTCTCCGACTCCTGTTGCAACCTTTGAAGTCATGTTAGTCATCTTCCATGCAAAACACAAATGACAGTTTTTCCAGAAACACATCGTCACCACTGCGCTCAGAAAGGGCTGACGGTTAGGCCATCAATCACGGCCTGGCGTGGGAACGCCACCCCGACGAGCTCTTGAACTCATCAGCTTCCCACAAATGCTGGATCATCCCAATACAAGACCCATGAAACACTCCAACAACAATCAGATTTACATCTTTACCATCTTGCTAATATCACTCAAATCATTTTTCCGGTATACCCTAAAGATATCTCAGATTTTCCTGGTAATGGGCTGCAACTGTAAATGTCGACATGTCGACATGGCCAACACTTAGATATGTTTACAAACATTCAAAATACATGGCAGGATATTATATCTATAGATTAGTAGTTAATATACAATTCATATACATATATAATATATATATATATACATCATATATATATATATACATATGTATACATAGATTTACATCATATCTATGTATACACATTATATATATATATATATATATCATATATATATATATTTACATCAAACATATAACTAGGTATATCATATTTATATATTCATATGTCATATCTCTTCACGGCTGTCTAAAATAGAGAACCAACAAACGCTCCAGCGAGCGTAGCTTGGAGCCTGGATCACCACAAAGGCCAAGATCACGCTGAGGTCGATCCCGAAGATGGGAGGCATCCACCCCCTGCGAATCAGGGGACACGCCGTAGGTTTTTGAAGTTGAAAACGATGAGCAAACTTAGGGAACATCATCCTGTTTATATCATGTTTTATGCTGTTTTTATATATAGTTAAAAAAAAACTGATGATTTATTCCCCACCTGCCAGGTGAGGGTTGTTAGATTTTATCTAAGTTGCCTGGTCCTCCTCCTCCTGCCTCCTTCTCCTGCCTCCTCCTCCTCCTCTCCTCCTCCTCCTCTCCTCCTCCTCCTCCTCTCGTTGTCCTCCTCCTCTCGTTGTCCTCCTCGTCCTCCTGCTCAACTGCGACTCGCGATCCACAGTGTTCGCTGTCGGACCTCAACCACGACCACCCACGCCCAGTGTTCCCTGCCGGACCTCAACCACGACCATCCACGCCCAGTGTTCCCTGCCGGACCTCAACCACGACCATCCACGCCCAGTGTTCCCTGCCGGACCTCAACCACGACCATCCACGCCCAGTGTTCCCTGCCGGACCTCAACCGCGAGTATCCACGCCAAGTGTTCCCTGCCGGACCTCAACCGCGAGTATCCACGCCAAAAGATATGCCACAAGAAGATATGCCAGATAGAATGTTAGAAGATATGCCAGATAGAATGTTAGAAGATATGCCAGATAGAATGCCAGAAGGTATGCCAGATAGAATGCCAGATAGAATGTCAGCTAGAATGCCAGAAGATATGCCAGATAAAGTGCCAGAATGTTTGCCAGATAGACTGCCAGCAGATTTGCCAGATAGATATGCTAGATAGAATGCCAGATGGAATGCCAGAAGATTTGCCAGATAATATGCCAGAAGATATGCCAGATAGAATGCCAGATGGAATGCCAGAAGATATGCCAGAACATATGCCAGAAGATATGCCAGAAGATATGCCAGAACATCTGCCAGAAGATATCTGCCAGAAGATATGCCAGAACATCTGCCAGAAGATATGCCAGGTAGAATGCCAGAAGATATGCCAGATAGAATGCCAGATCGAATGCCAGAAAATATGTCAGATAGAATGCCAGAAGATTTGCCAGTAAAAAAATGTATAAATGTCATGGTGGGGATCACACGAAGTAAAGTAATTACCTTTTTACATGACCATCATAACCTGTTTATATCATATTAATGCTGTTTTAATGCTGTTTATAATTGGATGTCGTATTTCTTTTCTATACGCTGTTGATATCCTCGATGGAATCCCGTGCGGCGTTGATGGAACATGACTCTTTTGAAGAACAAAGGAAAATGCTTGGTTGAAGAGTCCTTTCCATCTATATCCATCAATTTTCATAGTATGCCTTAGCATGCATCCAAATTTTGCGATTTCCATCTACATCCATGACCCACAGTGCCTCGCCTGAAAAGGTTCAGGTAGGGATCTGTCAGCTGGATCATGGAGTAGAAGGGCTGTCGATACGGGTTGATATTTGGAAACCTGCCGCTGGGACAGCCAGGACAGCAATTTACCCGGTGTTCGAAGAGGTAGCAAGGTATAGTGGATGATACAGTATACCAATGTAACTGGGTTTGCAAATGGCTGAGGAACAAATGAACCTGCGTAGAATAGCTACGTCATAGGTGGTCTATTGAAGGAAATCCGTTTGCCAACCACTTTTTGTATGACACCCATATAAAAATGGCTGGTGCATTGCAGTCCTTGCATATCCACAGAACATGCTTCAGTCTCATCTGGGCCATGAACAACACCCCTATCCCATCCCATTATTCTGGTTGGTAAATAGGTATCTCTATGATAAACCAATCACCAATCAACCACATACTAAACCTCACTATCTTAAACAATCAACAATAATTGAATCATAAGTAATCTATACTGTTCTATAACTATCTCCCATTTTTTGCTGATAAAACCATGAGAAACATGGTTAGTTGCAAAAAACAACACATTTAAATTGTCGAAGTTTTCAGTTCAATTGTTTCAATGTTGCATAATTGTTTCACCATCAGCCAGAAAGGTAAATAGCATTAAATCACCCTCAAACAAAGCATTATGCGTCATTTTGAATCCCTTGGTCAGTTTTGTATAAACTATGTAGTATGATATACACATGAATATACATTATACATATATAACCATGTATTAAATGTACACACATAGTATTATATGTTTCGAAAGGCATTTTTCAATGAGTCATTCGTCGCCATGCCAGGTGCCCCACCACATGATGGTGATCCTCAGGACCAGCATAGCCTCAGGAAGACGTTGCCAAAAATTCTGGAATCCATGGGGGAAATATACATGATCAGAGGAGTTTCATGGGAACTGATCAGCTATTTTCATGGGATTTCATGATGGAATACCTATATTTTCATGGGATTTCATCATGGAATACCTATGTTCATGGGATTTCATCATGGAATATTCATATATATTCCTGGGATATGAGCGTTTATACACTCCGGTGTATCGCGAACGTGGAAACCGGGACATCCGGGAAAATTATCGAACTAACTGGATCGAGCCATGGTGGTTTTTCCAGCCCAGCTTTGATGACTGGTTTGGATACCAGCTGGTTGTATATGGAAATGGTGAGTTCACCGAGGCAATTCCAGTTGGAATATACCCTCTGGTAAACTAACATAACTATGGAACATCACCATTTTTAATGGGAAAATCACCTATAAATGGCCATTTTCAATCGCTATGTTAAATTACCAAGAGGGTACCACTTGGATTTGGAATTCATCAGGAAATGGGAAGTTATGGATGGAAATAATTGTGGATTCGAGGAGGAAATATCAGACTTCAAGCTATGTGTGGACCTCCCAGGGAAGCTACCCTCTGGTAAACTAACATAGCTATTGAAAATGGCCATTTATAGTTGATTTTCCCATTAAAAATGGTGATTTTCCATAGTTATGTTAGTTTACCAGAGGGTATAGGTTGTCAACATCGTCAGTTTACTGGATCATAACAGCAAACTCTGGCATTCAATCAAGATGAGTTGGGATTTATCATGATTTCTCCGATCAAATGATGTCAAATTGCTGAAGTGATCATCCATGCCTGGTAGATATCATGCATACATAAACCAGAATGTATATATATATATGTATGTGTGTATATTATAATATATATTGCCATGAAGGCGTTGCTTTCTTGGGGCTTCATCCCAGTGGTGGCTTGTTGTTGTGGACTTTTCAGTGGACCTTCTTCGCTGACACTTGGAAAACAGACCTGGGATGTTTCCAAAACAAAAAAAAAGCTCGAACAATTCGAACAATGGCCTGCCTTCTACAAGACCTGGCTTTGCCATGGTTTGCCACTTTGCCCAGCTAAGATACTCAGATACT